TCGTTAAGTTTTTCTACTCTATGACACCAAATCACAAAAGTGGCATCGACGTATCTAAATCATACCCTTGTCTTGTATGCTGACCCCTTTATCCTCTTTTCTAGATGCTCCATGAAAAGGAGCATCGTGCAAATATATAAGCATCCAAATAATTTTAATCGGATAGAATGACCAAAAGTGGAGGGGAGGCCAATAGAAAATATAAATATGTCATCCGTAGTACAACGCGGCGACCGGGCGTCAATTTCAGCTTACAAGCGAAGCAATAACAGCTCCAGAAGATGCCAAGCCCTAGTCCTAGTGAAACGTCGAGAACTAATCTCAGAAGATAACGGCCTAACAGCCGGAATAAACAGGTTAACAAGTTAGACGATGGCCGTGAAAGCCTAACGCATTTTATCAGATTTTAGTTGTTGTGTGTGTTCAACGCTTTCGTACAATTTTTGAAAAATAGAGTTGACCCAAGTTAAGTGTCTGAAATTATGAGAGTTATTTTCTGAGCGTAACTGCTACCCAATTTTTTCAATCTTCGTTGACTTTATTGTTCAGTCTTTGTAAAATTAACGGTATATAATAACGGTTAATAAATGGTATCAACTTCTATCCGTCTGTATTTAGAATGTGAAAGATATTAGTGTTTATATGCGATTCGTCTAAAAAATAAACATCCAATATGACGTGAGGAATGAATATTATTTATGTTTATAAATCGTTTATTTGCTATACAAACGTTGACCTTCTTAGTTGTTTATATTAATACAGCAGTGGAGAATGCTGAATTTAAAAATTAGTCGAAATTTTTTCGCGAGAGAAATCCAAATTTTATTTCTTTAATTTTGGATGTTTTAAATGGTTTGACGTTTTGTGTCGATATAGTTTTATCAAAGCTATCGTTTACGTCCAGGAGAATCCAAGCAGCCGTTGTAAATTTTGTGCCTTTTCGGATAGAATGCTATTATTACAAATACAGGGCAAGCCAGTGAATATTAATGTAGTTCAAGTGTATGCTCCAACTGCAGATAAAATAGAACATTTTTATGAACAACTCAAAACAACTTCTCCAATACACAAGAAATATATATAAGAATGGGTGATTTAAATGCAAAGATGGGGAAAAGCCTAGTCGACAATATAATAGGTGATTATGGTTTAGGAATAACGAATGCTAGAGGCGACAGATTGGTTCAATTTTGTCAAGAAGATAACCTGGCGATTATGAACACAAGATAAATGAAATTCGTGCTGAGGCTTTAACTTTGAGGTATTAATCCAAAAATGAAGAAATTAACATCAGAAATAACAAATACTAAGAACGTGAACATTAGGTGGAGCAAAATCAAAGATTCTCTTATAAAAACACAAAAAGAAACTCTACAAAAGAAAATAAAAAACTGAAAATCATAGAACAAAGAAGAAAATATAGAAACAGAAACCCAAATAAGTACAGAGAAAAACATAAAATTAATAAGGAACAAAATAAACGAAGCTAAGGAAAAGTGTATGATAAAAATAAGAATGGATTAAATATATTGAAGATCTTTTCATGGACACAAGAACGGAACTAACACAAATTGTTAATGAGGAAGCTTCAATAATATTAAAATCTTACATGCTACAAACAACTCAAAATCTGGCAGAGCCCCTGGGCCAGATGAAGTTCATATCAAGCTGATTAAACTTATAGATGAAGACAATTTAAGTGCAATAACTATACTCTTTAACAACATATACAAATCTGGTAAGATACCTATAGAATGGCTGCTATCGACCTTTGTTCAGCTACAAAAAACCAAGAAAGTGCGAAGCGGATATGAGTAATAGACAGTTTGGCTATTACTCATAGATAAATATTTGTATCATTCCAAATTATCTTTAAAATTTTAATCAATACACTTTTATTTTCTAATGATAAACTTCTATTTTCTTACTCAAATATGTATTGCTTCTTTTGAAAAAATTAAACTGTACAAAATAGTATTATGTAGTTCAAATAAATTATGTAGTTATTATTGAAAGATAAATTTAATCAAATAAATTTTAAATAAATTAAGTTGTAGGTGTTATAAATATAGAACCTTTGATAAATAATAAGAACAATAAATAAGAATTAATAAAAACACTACAATATAGAGTGTTTTCACAAAATATAAGTTTTATTTATAATTTTTGTTATAGTTGTTTATACGATTCCAAAAAGTTTAAATATTGCAAAACGGTTAGTTTTTTTGGAATAAAAATATAAATTGATTCATAATTCGTTTGAGTTCGGCGTAATAATTGGCAGAGATCGAGATCTCTACTACTTTTAAACATTATTCTGATGAATTGGATAATATGTCAATATTATTAACGTTTATACCAAATAATTCAACATGTGTTTCAATTCTATTGTCCATCCGCCACATTTCCTTTTCTACTTTTTCTTCAACATGTAAAATGCAGTTCTTCCATATTTCTCGTGTAACTGATGAAATTCAATTATAAAATAGATTTATGACCTCTGAAAATTTAAAGGTAGTTTTTGTACTTTGTATTCTTTTGTATTTTGTAAGTTTTGAGACTTGAAATATGTAGAATGTAAAAAATTACTTAAAGAATTTTTTAATTCTGTTGTTAATCCATCCAAAAAAGCTTGTTTAGATGATTGGACTGTAGATTTTAGATTGTACCCATATTTTAGATTTTATATACCTAGCGTTCAACCATGTCTTATCCAGATAATAAATTTTGCGAATATTTTCGATAAGTCCTTATCTGTTAAGATACTCTCATCGCCACACCACAACGTCATCTCTGTCTTATAAAAGGGCGTTTCTCTCCTTGCGTTGATATTGAAAATTAAGTTTTTTTAATATTCTACAAAATGTGTTTTTGAAAAATTTTGCAATCAGGGTCATCGTTTACTTCCTTTAATTTTATTTTTGTCCAAATCATCTATTTTTTTTTTTTTCAGAGTCAGGCATACTTTTGGTCCAGCGAACTGGTGATTAGTTTTATATTCCTTAATCACCGTAAATACACTTGCTATCTTTTTTGTTTTCAATAAAAGTAATCAGGTTTAAAGTCGTTATACAGATAAAAATAAATACTTAAGTACTTTTAAAAGGCACGACAAATAATTATTACAAAATTAATATGAACGGTAGAAACATAAAAATTATCCTTAAACCATCAAAACGACAAAAACGTTACCAATAAATCGATTCAGAATACAACACTTCAATACCAAAATAGTAAATCTGGTCCGGGTCTGTATTATAATAATTGTCTGTATTATATTATTATATAGAAGACGGCACAAGAAGAAGAAGTATTATATTATGTGCATCCATCTATGCAAACAACTATTAAACCATTAGTTTTTAATTGATAATGAAGCGCGTATGGTAGGGCTGGCGCTGATTTGTACAATGAGAATTTAAACCAGCAAAAATTTGTGCCCTAGATCATGTTTATCTCTCTCTTATATACGCCGGAACCCGAAGGCCCGTCCTGTCATAAGTGCCTCATGAACGATTAAAAAAACAATGTTTTAAAATGAAATAGGCCCAAACTACTAAATGGTATAACAAGGTTTGAACTTAAATCTAAGTTCTTGGTGAATTCAAAATGTTGCTTTTTACTTAAATTATTTATAACTCAAACGCGATCAAGTTTTTCATAAAAACAAAAGAGACTTATTTGGTTCATAGTGATTCAAATAATTTAAAAAATATATTTCCAGTTAAAAAAATTTATTCCATAAATTTGTTTAAAAAACATTTTTCGGCTGGACGACGTCTTGAATCTTATTTTGGGGTATCTCATGAAAGTGAATATGAAAAAAAATCTCATGGGAATAGTTTTCCGAAAGAATCCGAGCTTTTCGCCTTGTCTATTATTGAAATTTAGTATGGAACAAACTGAACCACTACTGAAACTTTTATTTAAAATGATTATAATTGGTGATGGATTGGTGATGTAATAAGTACACGAGATAGAAGATAGAGTGATTATTTAAAAATAACAGTGTATATATATTTGGCGTATTTTACTCACAATTCAAAGATTTTTACATTACACCATGGTTACATTAATCTGTTAGAATCCACTATTATACCCCCAAAAATAAATAAAAAGTAAACAATAGATGCATACAGCTTCGGGATTTCCAAAGGGTGCAAAAACAGTTTGTTTTGTCAACGGGGAAGTTTATGGCTACTGTTTAAGGATCTTTATTGCATTATCTTGTTCTAATACCGCGTACTAGCCCCGTTGTAAATAGCTAATTATAAATATCGTTGAAATAACTCAAAGTTTAGAGGTTCATTTTATTTTTCCAAGGAAATTCCATTAGACAGTCATATAATAATAATTTTAGCTAAATGTAAAGTGAAACAGGCATGTCCAAATTTCATTCTAATTATAGAGGTTATATAGGTATATACGAGGAACCGAATAATTTTTAAACCACTATTCAGTAGGCACTTTAGGTTGAATCTTCGCATATTGGGAAGAAATGTGCTGGATTTATTCCATGCTCGTTTCCATTGTTCTTTAACATTATTTTTAATGATTGTACATATATCAGATTAGAAAGTTTATATTCAGTCAACTTTCTATCTGTAATGACTTTTTTTGCTAAAAAATCAACATGTTCGTTACAAATGATAGTTAGAATAAGTTATCCATTATTCATTACTATAAAATTGAGATCATCTGCAGTTTTAATAAGTTGTGTTCCAATTGTATCATTATAACTAGAGCCCCAAATTGTATGATTAGCAATTACTATTTAAATGAGAATAAGCCACAGTTAAAGATTAAAGTACGTTTATTGACGTTTCAATTTCCACTTCGGAAATCGTTCTCAAAATACAAAACATTAGTAAATTAAACAAATTTTGTTTTTTTTTTCAACAAAAAAAACGTGCATTTTCTTTGCTGGTCTACATAGTTATTATTAATCCTCGTATTTGACACTGTTTTGTTATTACAATCAATTATGTTTAGAAACTTACCTTCTGTTAAAAAGTTGGGTGGTAGCAAACTGTCTACAAAGCTTTTAGTCATATCGTACAGTCCTTTCAATCCTCCAGGACTGAATGTAATACTGGCAGCAGTATAGTTATTTGTGTCAGTATAGTTTGTATATTCAGGCATTTGTGCCCTAAGATTCTCAAAGCCCCTCATATCGGTTGCCATATAGGCAAACTATGAAATTTTTGAAAAGTTTGATTTTATCCGCCACACGCAACTTCGCAATATTACCTCAAAGGTAGTTGATAAACTAATTTTATTTTGTTTAATAAAAGTAGCAGATAACGCTGAATTTGTTTGATGATAAAATCGTTTATTACATGTACAATATCTTATCTAGAAATACAGGGCATCCCTACCGAAACCAACAAATAATGTGGTAGACAAATTATTTTTAGAAGTGTTCTTATAGTCGATTCACTTAAAGAATATAGGTACATGCGTCACGAATTTAATCGTATACATTTATAAAATTATATAAATATAGTTATATATATATATATATATATATATATATATATATATATATATATATATATATATATATATTTTAGTGGATTCTCTTGGGCTTAAGTTCATAAAAAAAATTTTTAACTTGATACTAAGACATTTTTATATATTTTTTCCGACGTTTCGGCAGGAAATCCATGCCTTTTTCAAGAATCTAGATTGACTAAAAAAAAACATTTTATGACAGACATAATACGGTTTAAAAAATAAACTTTTGACTTACCAAGCATGTAAATATTAGGTATTAACAATTAGGCGTCACAATTAAAATAATATTAAAACATAGGACATACCCACTAAGTCACTACAAGTAAAATGTATTTTAAATCTAATGTGGTATTTATTGATGTTAGTTTATCGTTTAAACAATCAGTTATTTTAACATCATAGGCGTTCTGAGATTGACTTTTTATGTGTTTTTAAATTAAGTTAAAATATATTTTGTTCAAATTTTTGACATCTTTTTTATCATTTATTGCGTTATTATTTTTTTTATTTGTATAGACTCTAGAAGCTCTCTCTTTTTCCTGTTGGATTTACTTTTTAGAATCTTGGTTTTCTCAAAATCAAATTTATGTTTTTCTTCGTTTTCATGTTTTGTGAGGGCGGTTGAGTTTTTTTGTCATATTTGTGGGAACGTATTCTTGAATTAAGTAGCTGACTGGTTTGTTCAATATAAACTCCATTACAATTCGAGCAGGGAATTTCATATACAACATGCGATCTTTTTAATAGAGGGGTTTTTGTTTTCAATCTTGTTAAGTTCCTTTTCAAAAGATTGTGACCTTTATGAGCAACCGTAATATTATGTTTAGACAGAAGATTTGCAATTTGTTCTGATAATCCTTTTATATAGGGGAGAGACATATAGTTTTTCTTTACCGTGTTGGTTTCATTGTTATTATTGTTATTGTAAAATTTATGCAGTCGCGATTTGAAAGTGTTGTCGATAAGGTGGTGTGGGTATGAATTAAGTGTTAGTGCTGTATTTGCTTTTTTAAGCACTATAACTACTTCATGGTCAAACTTCAGTAGTCTATGCAATCGATTGGTTTCTCAAAATCAACGAGTGCTATAAGCAAAGTAAATGCCCGTTCAAATATGAATGTCTCATCCTGTATCAAAAATATTATTGTTTAATTCATATGAAAGTTGCTAAATATGTTTATCTAAGATCATCTCATGACTCATTTTTTCCCATTGTTGAAATTAATAATCTTAAGACGTCATATTAGATAAAGCAGGATACCGGAAAATATATATGCTAGATGATTTATTCTAAATATATATATATACATATATATATATATATATATATATATATATATATATATATATATATATATGAAAGTAAAAGATTGCATTTCATTTCGATAGGAACTCCACCATAGCCCGACACGTGTTTCGGGTTATTCAACCCATCGTCAGGAGCTCTTGTGGAAGTTCAACCGAAATGAAATGCAGTCTAGTAGTTGGCGATTATAACTACAATAATAGCCAGGGTACGCTAGCAGCGACATCTATGTGAAATAACGAGAAGTCGAGAGACCTCTCTGATAGCAAATTAGGTGAACCGCAAATTCAAAGCCTCTTGCTAGAGGCTTTCAACGACGCTAGAAGTACATTTTTACTTCGACATGCATCTACGATTCACCTTTGAAAATTACCATCTTTTTTCTCTTTACGTAGAGAAAGACGTTTAAATGAAAGTAAAAGATTGCATTTCATTTCGATAGGAACTCCACCATAGCCCGACACGTGTTTCGGGTTATTCAACCCATCGTCAGGAGCTCTTGTGGAAGTTCAACCGAAATGAAATGCAGTCTAGTAGTTGGCGATTATAACTACAATAATAGCCAGGGTACGCTAGCAGCGACATCTATGTGAAATAACGAGAAGTCGAGAGACCTCTCTGATAGCAAATTAGGTGAACCGCAAATTCAAAGCCTCTTGCTAGAGGCTTTCAACGACGCTAGAAGTACATTTTTACTTCGACATGCATCTACGATTCACCTTTGAAAATTACCATCTTTTTTCTCTTTACGTAGAGAAAGACGTTTAAATGAAAGTAAAAGATTGCATTTCATTTCGATAGGAACTCCACCATAGCCCGACACGTGTTTCGGGTTATTCAACCCATCGTCAGGAGCTCTTGTGGAAGTTCAACCGAAAATGCAATCTTTTACTTTCATTTAAACGTCTTTCTCTACGTAAAGAGAAAAAAGATGGTAATTTTCAAAGGTGAATCGTAGATGCATGTCGAAGTAAAAATGTACTTCTAGCGTCGTTGAAAGCCTCTAGCAAGAGGCTTTGAATTTGCGGTTCACCTAATTTGCTATCAGAGAGGTCTCTCGACTTCTCGTTATTTCACATAGATGTCGCTGCTAGCGTACCCTGGCTATTATTGTAGTTATAATCGCCAACTACTAGACTGCATTTCATTTCGGTTGAACTTCCACAAGAGCTCCTGACGATGGGTTGAATAACCCGAAACACGTGTCGGGCTATGGTGGAGTTCCTATCGAAATGAAATGCAATCTTTTACTTTCATTTAAACGTCTTTCTCTACGTAAAGAGAAAAAAGATGGTAATTTTCAAAGGTGAATCGTAGATGCATGTCGAAGTAAAAATGTACTTCTAGCGTCGTTGAAAGCCTCTAGCAAGAGGCTTTGAATTTGCGGTTCACCTAATTTGCTATCAGAGAGGTCTCTCGACTTCTCGTTATTTCATATAGATGTCGCTGCTAGCGTACCCTGGCTATTATTGTAGTTATAATCGCCAACTACTAGACTGCATTTCATTTCGGTTGAACTTCCACAAGAGCTCCTGACGATGGGTTGAATAACCCGAAACACGTGTCGGGCTATGGTGGAGTTCCTATCGAAATGAAATGCAATCTTTTACTTTCATTTAAACGTCTTTCTCTACGTAAAGAGAAAAAAGATGGTAATTTTCAAAGGTGAATCGTAGATGCATGTCGAAGTAAAAATGTACTTCTAGCGTCGTTGAAAGCCTCTAGCAAGAGGCTTTGAATTTGCGGTTCACCTAATTTGCTATCAGAGAGGTCTCTCGACTTCTCGTTATTTCATATATATATATATATATATATATATATATATATATATATATATATATATATATATATATAAACCTAAAGCTAAGATTAATATTATTACTAAAATTAATATCAAACTCACCAGTCTTCCGGGTTGAACCGCGTCGATATTCATTTTCCGAGCTTTCGGCATCCTCTCTGATGCCTTCCTCAGGGCTTCCGAGGTCTCAGTCTCCCGAGCTCCCAGACATCGGGGGTACAAAATTTAGTACATTTTTAGTTTTTTATATATTTAGTATTTTCGGGGAAATTTAAAAAAAGAAGGGTAAAAAATATGAAATTGTACTTTTTCTAAAACTAAGCATTTTGAATGGGTCAAACTTCTTGGACGTATTAACAATACATGTACAAAGAGAATTGCATAAGGGTGAAAATCGATTTTAATTATGGGGTTGGTTAGGGGGTTGTTTTCATCGATTTTTTCGTAAAAAAAATGAGGTATTGACCTTATTTTCATCATAACTTACTCAATTTTTGAGCTAGAGTCTTTTTTATGATAGGTCTATTTATGCTCTTTAAAAAAGGTTTTGTGAGTTTTCTTCTAAAAATGCATCATTTTCCCGATATTTGACTTTGAATCTTTCAAATTTGGCATTAAAAACCCGCTGAACATTGATAGGCCGTATTTCGGTTCCTGTTATATCGCAAAAACATTTTAAAAAATGAATTGTCGATTTTTTCGTCTAAAAGTTGTTACTTTCAAACGCGAATAACTTGAAAAATATCAGGTTTACAAAAAAAATGTATAGAACATTTTTTGTTAAGAATCACTTTTTTAATCAAAACCTGTAGTTAAAACGTAAAAAAAAAATTCACCCCCGAGATGGGGTGGCAACCACCCCCAAGGCTTTGGCGCACTTTGGTTCGATATAGATTTTGATCCTTGGCTATTACCTACCTTCTGTTAAAATTTCAAGTCAATACACGTGTATTAGTGGTTTGACAGCATAATAAAATCGTAGATTTATGTGTAGCTTTCAATTTTTATGATTTCAGAATCCAGCAGCCCGCTGAAGTATTGGATTTTTATAATATAATTATTTGACAACCTTTTGTTGGTCAACCACCTACAGCAGAATTGAGCCGAAATACATAATATTTCGTATGTTCCGAATTTATTTCGTTCAATCTGTATATATATATATATATATATATATATATATATATATATATATATATATAAGGATCACTCAGACGAGTGGTGGGTTCTTATATCGGTCTCTAGGTGGAGAAATAAAAGACAAAGTTGATAGGCTACTTTATCTATTTTGAAGACGTTTCGCTTTCGAGTTTTGAAAGCATCATCAGTTCATCTAAAAAATTATTACAATATGAGAACCACACAATCATGGAAACGATGTTAATTGTTACCTTAAAAAGATATGTAGCAGTCAATGTTATTAACAAACATGTGAATGAAACTAAGTAAATGGACATAATACGCTGATCTTGTATAAACAGTTAAGCAACTAACAACATATATGAACTTGTAAAAAATTAGCACAGCAATTGACCATGTGGTCTAAAGTAAATTCAATGTTATTTAATGTTAATAAGTGAGCAAGAACCAAGAAAATCATAAATAACTTCCAACTATTTAATGGATATTAAGCTTTGATTTTAACTT